TCTGTAACATCTACCTATCAACCAAACATGTGGTCTGTAACATCTTCCAAACAACCAAACATGTGGTCTGTAACATCTACCTATCAACCAAACATAGTGTCTGTAACATTTTCCAAACAACCAAACATGTGGTCTGTAACATCTTCCAAACAACCAAACATAGGGTCTGTAACATCTTCCAAACAAGCAAACATGTGGTCTGTAACATCTTCCCAACAACCAAGCATAGGGTCTGTAACATCTATCTATCAACCACACATGTGGTCTGTAACATCTTCCAAACAACCAAACATAGTGTCTGTAACATCTTCCAACCAATCAAACATAGTGTCTGTAACATCTTCCAACCAATCAAACGCATGGTTTTATATCTACCTAGTATCAAAACAGAGGATTAAGCAAAGAAACAGATCAGATATTTAGTTGGTGTTTGTATTTATGTCCCAATAGATACTTTTTTCTTGGGCCTAATTTTAACTTATCTTTATTATTAATTATTATTAATTATTAACTACTGTAAATTCTTTCCCCACAAAACTTAAATGTGTTCAAATTTTTTTCTGCTATGTATAAATTTTAGATTTAATTCCTCACTCCTCTTTGTTCTGATATTTTACCCCTTAAAATTAATAATTGGTTCAAAATACAATTATTTCAAATCAAATTTCACCTTTTAAAAAAACTTCTGTAGAAACGTCTCTCTTGTGCTGTATGAAAAACATTATGAAGAACTTCAGTATAAGTAGTAGTTTGTAAGTATAGTACAATGTCGTTGTCATCACGTGACGATTGGTTTCGACTTCATTTGCAAATTATATCACACAAACAATACTTAACACGCGTGCACTTCACTAAAAAATGAACGTTACAATATATACAATTTTTATGGGCTTTCTCGACTTATTTAGGTCTAAAATACGCATGCGCAGTTCGTTCAAAACCATATGCTTATCACTTTATGAACGCGCATTCAGACGTTTCTGTATATTCGGCTAAGTTTGTCTTAATTACAACTTTACATTTACTTTACTTTGCAATAATGTATCTTTGGTTCGTTTCATAGATTGCTATAAACACATTTCAGCTACTTTTTTCTTTCCTACGAGTTGTGTTGTTTGTTTTTGCGAGTTTCTTTGGTTCAAATCATAAAACCTTGTCATACAGTGAATGCTCATAACTGTTTCATACTCTGTACACTATTATAAGTACCATTACTTTACTGTATTGTTTACTTTACGTGTATTTTTTTATCAAATTAAGTTACGCCCACGTGGGTTCGTTTGTCTCACGGCGTAAATGTTTTTCAAATAGACCAGGATTTATCGATCTAATATATAATGTCTTCTGAAAAGCGTAGCTTAAATGGCGTGCGTGAAAATTATAGAATAAGGAAAATTCAATCGAAGGGCATGAAAACTACCGCAAATGTTTTGCGAGTCGCGGCTAGTTTTAAATATTAATACTTTTTAACCAGCTCCCTCTACCGTTATCATCATAGTTTGACTTTGACCACAGCAGATGTATAGGTAGGATCCGATGTAAAGATAACCTTTCTCATCTTTTCTATACGTGAAATACCAATCTCTAATAGAAGGGTGTGAATTAAGTACTTTGGGAACATTTGGATGCCTACTCCCCCTTTTGACAAAGTAAAGCATCCTGAATCTTGAATGTTGCTTTCAGTTTTTGACATTATTTAACATAAAATGCGTGTAGAAACAAAAAGACGGCTTCATTTAACTTAAACAGATGGTGAAGTATTAAATTTTTTATGGCTGCTTTTCCTTAAACATTTAAATTGAATTAAAATACTTTAAAATACATGTCCCGTGGTGAGACAGCGGTAAGTCTACAGACTTATAAAGCTAAAATCTGGGGTCTGATTCCACGCGGTGGACACAGCAGATAGCCCAACTTGGCTTTGTTCTGAAAGAAAACACACCTTAAAATAAATGGTTTGTAAAGTATTGTTTAAATTATTACCGTATTATATATTTAAATTATTACAGGTTATTAGTTTTGGCACATTTTAGAGCTTAACAAGATCAATTACACATGACGTATATTTTGCATTAAGACTTTTCTTACTGTATTTTTACGTTCTTGTATTTTTTTTTATATAAGTTAACGTATGCAGACACCCATCCAATGTACACGATGGAAAACTACCCGAACTTTTTCCGAGTAGTTCCGAGCGAAGCTGCTTTCAACCCTGCAAGAGTGGCTTTGTTACAGCACTTCAACTGGACACGTGTTGGGACTCTCTATCAAAACTCTCCACGATATGCACTGGTGAGTTTGATCTTACTCTGTGTGTGTGTATGTATAGTAACAGCGCCGCCAGTCGGGTTGTTTCCAGTTTATCTGCCAAAAGCGGCCACATATTGTTTATCAGATAACTCGAAAGTTAAAAATCACCGGAAAGCCCGAAATTCAACTTTACTGTTTTCGAAATTAAATGGAAGGCAGGGGCTTATTGAAACGACTAGGTTTAATATTAGGTTTTTTTACCCGCCGTCTTGACCCATCTCTGTTTGGGGTGTATTCCAATGATAAACAGATAAGTAAACAGACTGAATAGATAGATAAACGGATAGTTTTATGTAATTTAGATATTTGACCCTGACTGGTGTATAAAAACCTAGGACCGTTTTTCAATTGTCTTTAACGTTTCATTCCTTTTCAGCCCCACAGTAAACTTCTGACAGATCTCGAGACAGCCAAAATAGAAATAGCTGCCCAACACGGATTCGTAGACGAGTTACAGTCGGCTATACGTAAGTTAAAAGTAAGTATTCTCAACTTGACCAATAGCTAGCCAATCAGTACGCAGAAACAGCAAACGATTTTTGTAATAATAGTTTATTTGTTTGTTTTGAATTTCGCCAAAGCTACTCGAACTCTATCTGCGCTAGCCGTCCCTAATTTAGCAGTGATAGTCAAGTTAACACCGCCAATTCTTGGGCTACTCTTTACCAACAAATAGTGGGATTAGCCGTCACATTATAACGCCCCCCCCCCCATAGCTGAAAGAGCGACGAGAATGTTCGGTGACGGGATTTGAACCCGTGAAGTGCAGACTGCGAGTTGAGTTTAGTAATTTGTTTCAATGTAAGAATCAAACATTGAAAATCAACCAGTCTTTTTAAAAACACAGGTTTTTGTATTAACATTGATGTTTATTAGTCTTTAATATAATGAAATAATTTCGGGTTTCTTAAATTGTTTGTCCCCGGTGGGACATCGGTAAGTTTACGACGCTAAAATCCCGCGTTCGATTCCCTGTGGTTTATAGATAGTTCTAAGTGGCTTTGATCTGGAGAACAGGTAAACAAACTGTACAGCTTTGATGAGTGTATTATGAGTTTTTGTTGTTGAAATATCTTGCAACTCAAATAAAGTTCGCTGTTTCTTTAATTAATAAATGGGCCAGGTGGTTAGGGCGCTCGACTCGCAATCCGAGGGTCGCGGGTTCGAATCCCCGTCACACCAAACATGCTTGCCCTTTCAGCCGTGGGGGCGTTATAATGTGACCAAATGCACCAAAAAATAAGGAAACACGGTAGGAATGGGCGAAATAACATTACAACACTTGGTGGTTTTTGACATGATGCAACCTCAAAGTGAGTGTAGCCATCATTCCATCTATTACTACTATTCCATCTATTCCAATTAGAGATTTGGATTGGGTTTTATCAGTAACTAATCCTTTTTAAATACTCAATAAATTTCAAAATTTTAAATTAGTGGTTTTGATACTATTCTTTTAGCCCAACCCCTTAACAGTCAGATAGCTGTAATGCCTCCTATAAGTAAAGCTTCCTGTTTCACTTCCGAAATCAAACACGGTATGTCATGTAATTTGATCACATACATGTATCTGTACTTGGTTGCTGAAACAAAGTTTACAATAGATAAATAGTTCAATTAGTTTGAACAATTACCAAGTTACAAAAAGCACACGAAGTAGAAATGGTAATAACAAGTAAGTCTTGTTATGTTATCACACACATTCCTCCCTTGTTTCCTTAATTTTTGGTGCTCCCATTCCTACTTCCTAATTGTTTTATTAAAACATTTTTACCCTCGTGTACTATTAACCCAAGTATGCTACTTTAATTTTCTTGTTTTTTTTACACTTTGGGTCTTTAACAGTGAATCATTTCCAGATATATATTTGATAATTTAAGTATCCGCCCTGTTGGAAAAGCAGAACGATTTTATTCAATCATGTAACAGACAGCGGGTGTGTAAAAACAGGGACTGCTTATTTAATGTGAAATCGAAACTAGAGTGATAAAACATGCAGTGATGTCGCTTTATTGATCTCCAGCTAACGTGCGATAATTTACTCAGTTTCTTTGTTTTGGAGCAAAGCTACACTGGGCTATCTGTCGTGTCCACCGCAGGGGAATCGAACCCCGTATTTTAGCTTTGTAGGTCCTTAGACTTACCGCTATCCCACCGGGTGGTAATATGTACGAAGCTTAGGGAAAGGAAAATGCGAGCTCTTTAACCTCAAGTCTCTTTCTGGAATAAAAGAAGACAAGGATTAGTTGTTTATTTAATAAGAATTATATTTTCTGATTTAATTATTAAGGCACTCTTTTTTTGTAACTTATATTAGCATCCCACCAAACATGCTCGCCCTTTCAGCCGTGGGGGCGTTATAATGTGACGGTCAATCCCACTATTCGTTGGTAAAAGAGTAGCCCAAGAGTTGGCGGTGGGTGGTGATGACTAGCTGCCTTCCCTCTAGTCTTACACTGCTAAATTAGGGACGGCTAGCGCAGATAGCCCTCGTGTAGCTTTGTGCGAAATTCCAAAACAAACAAACAAACAAACAAACTTATATTAATCTTCTGCCTGCAATTCATGAAAGATTTATCTTTTTACTGTCACTTCATTGTCTATTTATTGCTCAGATTTAATTATTTAATTCTGAAATTGAAAGTTTTTATTTCGGTATCGAAAATGTAACATCTTGTTTGTTTTAAATATTTGTTGCAAACGGGATTTTTTATCTTTATTTATTATTTCATTTTCTTTGCTCTAACAAAATCAGGAAAATAAACACGCTTTACTTTGCCTCAACTGAATTCATTTTGTTTGTTTGATGTTAAGCACAAAGCTACACAAAGGGCTATCTGTGCTCTGCCCACCACGAGTATTACGTCCGCAAACATACCGCTGTGCCACTGGGGCGCGAATTCCTTTTGGTTTGTTTGTTTGTAATTAAGCACAAAGCTTACACAATGGGCTATCTGTGCTCTGCCCACCACGGGTATCGAAACCCGATTTCTAGCGTTGTAAGTTCGCAGACATACCGCTGTGCCACTAGGGGCGTTCCTTTTGGAATATAAACCTATAATGCTCTTTTGCAATTCAGTTTATAAAATAATACACTACATACGTCTAAATATAATATTGTTATATGACTTTTTTATGTTATAGGGCTAGGCGTGGCCTAGTGGTTACAGTGCCTAATAAGTGAATCCGAAATGTTCCAGGTTCGCGTCACGTTGCTTGCCGGAAAAACGCCTACAGCACTTTGGGCCGTAGGTGCTCCATATGAGTGACGGTAAAATCCCATTATTCGGTTAGATAAGAGTTGGCGGCAGGTGCTCTTGATTAGCTACCTTCTCTCTAATATATCAGCTCAAAATTAGGGACGGCTATGTGTAGCTTTGTGCAAAAATTCCAAACAAACAATCAAACATATCTCTGTTAGTAGCAACCTTCTTGAATTAAAACATTAGTATTGTAACCATGACAACAAAGGAAACCTGGGAGCTTGAATTAAAACAATACTATTGTAACCACGACAACAAAGGAAACCTGGGAGCTTGAATTAAAACAATACTATTGTAACCACGACAAGAAAGGAAACCTGGGAGCTTGAATTAAAACAATACTATTGTAATCACGACAAGAAGGGAAACCTGGGAGCTTGAATTAAAACAATAGTATTGTAACCACGACAAGAAAGGAAACCTGGGAGCTTGAATTAAAACAATACTATTGTAATCACGACAAGAAGGGAAACCTGGGAGCTTGAATTAAAACAATAGTATTGTAACCACGACAAGAAAGGAAACCTGGGAGCTTGAATTAAAACAATAGTATTGTAACCACGACAAGAAAGGAAACCCGGGAGCTTGAATTAAAACAATAGTATTGTAACCACGACAAGAAAGGAAACCTGGGAGAGAAAGAAAGATCTGAACTGCATTTTTATTTATTCACTATTTAAACATGTATGGCTATGAATATTGTATTTTAATTAATTATATAAACATTTTCACACAGTTTTATCATTTATGTTTTGTAGTTGCTGCACACAGAAGTTGCAGAAATGAAACAGCTAAATACAATTAGAATCCCTCTAGAGCGAAATGAAACAGCTAAATACAATTAGAACCCCTCTAGAGCAAAATGAAACAGCTAAATGCAATTAGAGCTCCTCTAGAGCGAAATGAAACAGCTAAATACAATTAGAACCCCTCTAGAGTGAAATGAAACAGCTAAATA